CCACCCCCGGCAGCTGCATCCCTTCAACCCCTCGCTCGCCGGCCTTAGCCGGGTGTCTCCCGGGCTAGCTGACTGGCTGGCGAGTGATGGGTGGCCGGCGCATCCCTTCCCACCCACCCCTTCCCCACCCCCGGCGGCTGCATCCCTCCAGACTGCTGCTCACCGGAGAAAGACCCTCCAGCCCACCTGTTTGTACCCCGGGACAGCCCCGGCAAGGAGGCCGGGCGTCCTCCAGGGCTGGCTAGCAGTGGAACTTGGCTTTGCTATGATCAGTTCAGATCATAGCAATGCTTTTATAACAGCTGACTGGCGGTTTCAAAATGGCCCTCCGCTGTTTCTGGGCCAGATTCCTCCCTTACCGAACAGCGAAAATGGCCGCGCTATGGAGGATCTTCGCTGAACGGTGAGTTTCAAGCCAATAGGAACGCATTAATTACGTTTTAATGTGTTTCTATGGGCTTTTTTGCCCCGTATAGCGACGAATCCGTATAGCGACGATTTTTCCGGAACGGATTATCGTCGCTATGCGGGGCACCACTGTACATGCAGGCTTTTCAGGTATTGAATATGGGAAGACAATTTCTTCCCATATTCAATATGGGAAGCATGACAGAAAGCACACAATTTGTGCTTTCTGTCATAAATGATTGTTTGCCATAACATTTAAGCTGCTTAAGATTTTAATAAATCTTTCAAGTGTGTATGTTTTTTGTGAGTGCAAACTTGAATCTGTCATGCTACTGAAAATTAGTAAAGTGAGACGAGTCAGCAAGATAAATAAGATATACTGTAGTTGAAACAATTCATGTGAGGATCTTCCCAATATAGGGTTGTAATGTTACATTTTCTCTCTCTCCATGTAAACAATGTATAAATATTCAAGGAGTTGGAAGTATCACTAATTGTTTATTGCTATATTACTGTTTGAGTTTAAGTGTAGTTTGTCGTAGAATTAGTTGAACTGAACTTTTAGAAGAGGTAGCTGTGTTAGTCTGTGCTAACATATAAGGCAGAAACAGAAGAAAAATAAAAAAATAAAGAAGACAAAAAAGAAGTGGCACATTGAAGACTAATTGCTGTATTTTAATATGAGCTTTTGTGGACAAGAAGAAGTGGATTTCTCCACAAAAGCTCATATTAAAATAAAGCAGTTAATCTTTAAGGTGCTGTAACGTTTCAGTCTTCTTTTTTTATTTTTCTTTTGTTTTTGCTTGAACTGAATTTGAATGCTTTAATATTGTGGCCAAAATCCTCCAGTGCAATCTGTGCTGATGTAGGAGAAGGATGTTACTTGACTGGTACAAATCAGAGTCCCTGCTTCAATTCCTCATTATTTCAATTCTGTCTCATTCTGTGTAAGCTGCATGAGACCTGGAATAGAAGCAAAAACTCCTTAATTTGTGGCAGTGTGCTGCTGCTGTTCATGTCATTTTTTCATGGGAAATGAGTGAAATGCCAGATGATTGGAGGATAGTTAATGTCCCTATCGTTTTAAAAAAGGAGAAACCTGGGAACTACAGATAAGTCAGCCTGACATCAATCCCAGGGAAAATTCTGGAGCAGATTATAAAACAGTCATTCTGCAAGCACCTAGAAAACAACACAGTAATAACTAGAAGCCAACACGGGTTTGTCAAAAACAAATCCTATCAGACTAATCTGATCTCATTTTTTTGAATTGGGTAACCTCCCTGACTGAGAGAATGCTGTAGACGTTGTATATCTTGATTTCAGCAAAGCTTTTGACAAAGTGCCCCATGATATTCTGATTAGCAAGCTAACTAGGTGTTGGCTACAGAAACATACCATATTTTTCCTTGTATAAGACGCCCCCATGTATAAGATGCCCCCTCACTTTTCTAACCCAAAATTAAGAAATCTAAGTGGGGCTTAGCAAGTGTAAGAGGAAAGGGATCAAACACTGCAGGATCACTTTGATCCCTGCTTTCCCCTCCACTTGTTTTTTCTCTCCTCAGCTTACTTCCGTGTATAAGATGACCCTCAATTTTTAGTCTAAAGATTTTAGACAAAAGTATAGTCTTATACATGGAAAAAATATGGTACTCAAGAGAGGGTGATGATTCATGGCTCCATCTCAAATTGGGAGGAGGTAACAAGTGGTTTACCCCAGTGCTCATCAATGTTTTTCAATATTTTTCTTCATAACCTGGATAAGATGGTCTAAAGAATTTTGATTTGTATATGACACAAAATTGGGTGGAATAACTAATACCCTGGAAGACAGAAACAATATTCAAAATGATCTGGATAGACTTGAGCACTGGGCTTAAAAACAAAAAACAAAACAAAAACAGAATGAAATTCAAGAGGGATAAGTGCAAAGTACTGCACCTTGAAAAAAGAAAGCAAACATGCAGTTACAATACGGGGGATACCTGTCTCAGCAATACTACAGGCAAGAAGGATCTTGGAGTCATTGTAGATCACAAGGTGAATATGAGCCAACAGTGTGATGTGGCTATTAAAAAGGCAAATGCTATTTTAGGCTACATTAATAGAAGTATAATCTCCAGATCCTGCGAGGTACTTGTTTCCCTCTATTCAGTACACATTAGGCCTCACCTTGAGTACTGTGTCCAGTTCTGGACACCCACTTCAAGAAGGATGCCTACAAATTGGAACAAGTTCAGAGGAGGGTGACAAGGATGATCAGGAGACTAGAAATGAAGCCCTATGAGGAAAGACTGAAAGAACTGGGCATGTTTAGCCTTGTGAAAAGAAGACTGATGGCCTTATTTGTCCCTTCCAACTTCATGATTCTGTGATTCTATGTTTGCCCATGTTTTAATTAGAAATTAAAAGTCTATACTGATTATATTTGGCAAACAGGATCTTGATGGATATGAGAGAGAGAGAGAGAGAGAGATCAGATGATATATATGTTCACTGTTATATTTCCAAAATACTTTTCCAAGCTTAGTATACATAAGCAGGTAGCAGAGGCCACTCAATATAAATATATGAACTGTACACAAGGGCAATAAAACTATTTCTATTGGAAGTTGTGAAATAAAGTGCCTTCGATATTAAATGTATTTCCATTTATCCTTTAAAATGTATAATTTAGCTCTGCAGCACTTGATAGGAAAATTTGTAGAACTTCAGCACAGCCATGAAAGCATGCTGCTTATATACCGCCCCATAGTGCTTCAAGCGGTCTCTGGGCAGTTTACAAGTTAATTATGCAGGCTACACATTCTCCCCCCCCCCCAGGCGAGCTGAGTACTCATTTTACCAACCTCGGAAGGATAGAAGGCTGAGTCAGCCTTGAGCCGGCTGCCTGGGATTGAACCCTGGGTCGTGAGCACAGTTTTGGCTGCAGTACAACAGTTTAACCACTGCACCACGAGGCTCTTCATTGCACATCTGTGTCTAATTCTCCTTCTTGGGCAGTGTCTCAAATAAATCTGAGAGTTTCCTGAGTATATCATTTCTGTCACACATAGGTCTCTTGCACTTTTTAACCTAAGGGGCTGATCAAGTATGTATGGTGCCTAACTTCAGTGAATCCATAGCTTCTTAGTTCCTTCTTTTTTGAGCCCTTGGTAGATACATCTCAACTGTATGTGCACAAATGGGTGCACACACAATTATTTCTATGTTTTTACTCATCTGCTGGTATCATTCTGTCTAAACTAGTATTTGTATTTAATTGCAGGATCGCACAAGAACCTTTGACATGCATTCACTGGAGAACTCGTTAATTGACATAATGAGAGCTGAAAGTGATTCACTGAAAGGTAAACTTGGAATGCTATTTTTAACCAGTAAATTATTGGAATAACATATTTGCAAAGAAAACAAGTTTAGTATTTACAGAATGGCTAAGGAGGTTACTTTGCCCTTCTGTTTACTAGTTTGCCCCATTCAAGACCACCTTTTTCATTTATCTCAAGAGAAAGGTGCAAGTCAAATATTTGTATATGCTTGTTGCCTTCCTTTTAATGATACAATTTAAAAAAACAAGTCATACTGTCCAGAGTTTGAGGTGTTTAAAATTCTTAATGCTTTTAAAACATGGAGTTGAAAATTAAAGGCAGTATATGAAATTCTCCTAGCCAGTTGGCATATTTTTTGTGAAATAATAGTTAAGGTGTTGTGAGGATATCAGAGGCTTTGCTAGAATAGAAATGAACCAACAGGGCCAGCCTTTCACCGTGTAGATATGGTCTTGCAAAACAGAGATCAAGTAGAACAGGTATATGTATGTAGAATTGTCCGTGTTTGGAATATTTCAGGTAATGTTGTTTTACCTTCCTTTGTGGTCTGATACAGGCTATAATACAGAGTGATATAGAATTTGTGGCAAGTTGTAGGCAACGTAATGCAGAATTTGTCAAAGTAATGTGCACAGTTCAGGCAGCTATGGATAGTGACCAGTTACTAGTCCTATTCCATAATTTAGGGCTTTTCAGTTCCTCTCGGTGGTATATTTATTTTATTTCTATTTTATTTAAAATATTGTTATCTTCCCTTTCTCCTGGAAAGGACCCAAGGCAGCTCCATGAAATGTAGTTCCCATTTGCCAAGAGGCATCTGTGTTCCAAAGCCAAATGATATTTTTTATATATAAACTACATTTTCCTGGTGGAACAAAACAAAAATAAAAACAAAACTATTGTAGCAACTTAAAGATTGATAGATTTTTTTTTAAACTGTGGCCTTCATCAGCTCTGGTATCTGACTGTGTAGCCGAAGACTGGAAATTTGATTTTCTACTCTGCCTTCCCAGATAAGAGACAGCCTGTATTGTCTTAGGAAGGCTAAAGAGTTCCAATGGTAAACTACTTTTAAATACACTGTACCTAGAAAACTCTGGAATGGGTTGCCATAAGTTAAAACAAACTTAATACCACACAGTTGTTAGTTTTTGTGGATTACAACCCACTTCCTCAGCCAAAAATCAAAACATTCTTTTTCTTGATATAACTCTAATGTTATCACAACATCTGAAAACAACCACCCATCTGTTTGAAAGACAAAAGCCTACCATTGGTATCATCTGACATAGAAGCTGATTTCTGCACCTACTACAGAATAGTCTTATAATCAATCAGTACTTTGAATGTTCATTTTTGGTGTTAATAATGACCTTGTCATTTTGAACATTCATTTGTCACCCTTTCTTACCCATCTATTTTGTCTTCATTTTGTTCCATGTACTCTAGATATTTAAACCTCTCGCCTGTTATACTCCTTATATTTTAAGAAGAGGAATGTAATCCATCAGTGCTGATACTGAAATAAATCACTCTAAATTGCCACAGACCTTTTTTAATTTTTGTTTTGTTTTCATTATTTGTTTTCTTTTCATTATTTTTGTTTTGTTTTTATTATCATTATAAGACAGTTACCTCTTTGAAAACTAGTACATTTTGCATTTTATTGACTTAGCCAAAGGCCATCCACCAACAACCCAGAGTAGGCTGAGGCCTAAACAGTGCTGATCTTTGCCACTCCTGGACAGTTACCTGAAGTCCAAAAAATACTAATTCAGAGGAACATTTAAGGCTCTGGCAAATATAACAACAGCAGTACTAAGCTTTTGCTTAGCTCCATCTGCATTGCTGTGGACACCAATAAAGTCCAGGCTCACACAAAATGAATTAAGATCTTCTAATCTCTAAGTTTGTACTGAAGTCTGGTCAACACTGTCAATAACACCATTCCTGCATAAACCTTTGGCAGATATGTCTGAGAGTTTGTGTGTTCTCTACACTTAACACAAAGAATTAACTAACTCTCTGCTATTTGATAAAATGAGCAATACTTCTATTAGCTGTGAATTTAAGTACTTGGGGGATTATGGAAGCACCATAAATGATCATATATGTGTCCTGAAAATAGTTTGAAATCAAAACATCCCTGCGCATTTTGAATTCATATCTGTAGAAAACAACAGGTTATGCAAGTTAATTGTCTTGTTGAAGGTCATTGCTGATACAGTAATTTTAATTTACATGTCTGGGAGTTTCATACATCTGATTCTTTATATACCCACTTTGTCCAAATTTTTCTGCAGTTCATTACTGATCTAGGGTAGCTAGAGTAGGTTTAGGATCTTCCTTGAAAGTACATTTCTTCTTTTGTTGAGAATTACCTTAACATTTTAGCAGTGCTTCTAGGCTCAGAGAATCTCCAGAAGCTGACAGACTGGTTTGCTAGTGTTTTTGCCACTCATGTGTGGTGTGACAAGAAGTAGCTATTACTGTCACAATCCTACATAGCTATTTAAGGTGGGGAATAAATAATGCAGGTAAAACTTGTATAGAGACCTGTGTAGCAAGCATCACCTTTGTTTATTACTTTGAGAGACTGAGAGCAAATAATGAGTTATCTTAACCTTTCTAGAAGCTGGAACCACCCAGCATAGTATAATGTGTCAAGAGGTGTATTCTGGGAACTTCCATGTCTTGAGTAATAATAAAGAATCTAAGTTATTGTTTAATTTCAGCTAGTTGTTACTAATGCTAGCTCCCAGAACCTTTCAGAAGGCACCTTTATGTTCTTCTATTAGGTGGTAGTTGAAACTGTTTCTTCATTGCCTTTTTTTCTGGGGTTGAGTAGCTTAGAGCAGTGGTTCTTAACCTTTTTGAAAGAAACGCCCCCTTGAGCCATTGAGGAAGTTATCATCGCCCCCCTCCCTGAGGTGATATCTTACCTACCTACCTACCTACCTACCTACCTACCTACCTACCTACCTACCTACCTACCTACCTACCTACCTACCTACCTACCTACCTACCTACCTACCTACCTACCTACCTACCTACCTACCTACCTACCTACCTACCTACCTACCTACCTACCTACCTACCTACCTACCTACCTACCTACCTACCTACCTACCTACCTACCTACCTACCTACCTACCTACCTACCTACCTACCTACCTACCTACCTACCTACCTACCTACCTACCTACCTACCTACCTACCTACCTACCTACCTACCTACCTACCTACCTACCTACCTACCTACCTACCTACCTACCTACCTACCTACCTACCTACCTACCTACCTACCTACCTACCTACCTACCCCTGGGGGGCATTATTGCCCATGTTAAGAACCACTGGCTTAGAGCACATGCAGATTTCCTCATCTCTGAGTATCTGCAGCTAAGTTCCATTTAATTGAGAAAGCAGTGGTCAGTGTATTGCTGAGGGACGATAACCTGAACGATTTCTAGGCTGATGTGTTGCTTTTCCAGAGAGGCAGAATCCTGTGGTATGCAGAGATGTCAATTAGGCCCAACTTTTCCTGTTTCAAAATACTTTCCCTTGGTGTAAATGTTAAGGGTAATATATGTGTCTTTATCTCTAAAAGATACAGTGGTAGTAACAATTCATTGAAACTGTCACATGATTTTAAAAAATCTTAGTTAATCAAATATTTGAGATCAATATCAATACTAAACTGAGTAAAGCATAATATATATTTTTGTAGGCAGTGCCAACCTATATCACAGCACCACCTTTTCACATTCTGTCTCCTCATATGTCATCTTAGAGAGATGTCTCTGCCATTCATAGCCGTTGTCTATACTTCTATTAGTTTTAAAAGTTTTGCCTGTGTATTATGAGGGGAGGACCTTTTAAATAGATTGATATGACTGGATAGATGACTGAGCCTTAGTTTTAATGTAACATTAACTATGGTTGAAATTATAGCCCTATTTGGTCATTATCAGAACAAGAATAAGTATGGCAGCTAGAGGGGTGTGCTCTAGCCTTGCTCTGTTTCCAGTTTCATTGTTCTCTTATACTTGAAAGCCAGTGAGTCTGAAGAAGAGTGCTCATGCCTATCTGAGGGTGTTCTTGGTGTGAACCAAGACCTTGGAAAATAAGCATCCTGGCTCTCCTTTTCAGATTTATTGCATTCCATATTTAAAAGAACAATGAACTTGGAAACAGAGGGAGTGAGGTTGGCATGTTTCTCCCTGTATGTGGTAAGTGTGTCTGCTTTAATAATTGCTGAATAAGGTTAATGTAAAGGAGCACGGAATGAATTTTTAGGCTTGTGCCCTTTCTTCCTTCTCCATATATTGCAATTCCCTACCTTCCTAGTTCTCAGCAAACTATAATTTCCGTTACATATAAACTCGAAAACCATACACCAGAATGAGTCCCTTATCTGTGATTCTTGTTTGCAGGGCAAGTACAAACTATACTTCTAAAAAGGTTGCTGATGAACCTTCATATTTTGAAGAATACAGTCCTTTTGTTAAAACAGAATTGCTTTAGTATCCTTTAATAATAATTCAGTTTGAGTTAATTCTTACTAATTGAAAGACAGTCTGTAGATTAAATGACAATTATATAGCTGACACAAGCTAACTTTTGCTTGAGTTGCAGTATTAATCTAGCAGAGGTACATTTTTTGTTTAAACTAGTTTAGCTATAAAGTAGGCCCATATGCAAGGATACATAAAATATTAGCTTACTATTCATTGTGGTTGCCAGTGGCGCTAGAGTGCTTTGAAATAGGGCATAATCTTTTCTCCTCTTCACCGATGTTGTAAAGAAAGTAAGAAGCAGTGGGGCATTCTTCTACAGTACCTATTGCTTAGTTAGGTGAGACTCCTTTTTAATTACTTCTGTGATGCTTAGTACCAGTGAGAGCTCTGGGAAAGCAACCTTTGTGTTGCAGAGAATCCTGCTCTTCAGAGGGCCAGGATTATTTTCTCCTCAAAATAAGAGGAGCTGCTGAATGGATTTCTGAATGCCTAGTTGCATCG